AAAAAAAAAAAAAAAAAAAAAAAAATCCCCAAAAAAAAAAAAAAAAAAAAAAAAAAAGGTGCAAGGAGTTTATCACCACCAAACCAGTACTGCAAGAAATGTTAAAGGTACTGCTGTAATAAGAAGTTGAAATAGAGAGAAAGAGAAACATAGGCATAAAGAAATAAAATGGCAATAGGTAAGTACCTATCAATAATAACCTTAAGTATAAATGGATTAAATGCTCCAATCAAAAGACATAGGGTAGCTGAATGGATAAGAAAACATTACCCAAATATATGCTGTCTACAAGAGACCCACCTCAGAACAAAAGACACACAAGCTGGGGGGGGAAAAAAAAAAAAACCTTCTGGAGGACTTTAAGGGAGAAATTGACAGCAATACGGTCATAATAGGGGACTTTAACACCCCACTGACTACTGAATAGATCTTCCAGACAAAAAATCAACAAGGAAACAGTGACTTTAAATGACACCCTAGATCATATGGATTTAATTGACATTTACAGAATATTTCACCCAAAAGCTGCAGAATACAGTCTCCTCAAGTGCACATGGGACATTCTCAAAGACAGACCACATGTTTGGACATGAAACAAGTCTCTACAAGTTCAAGACGATTGAAATCTTATCAAGCATCTTCTTGGACATTTACACCATGGAACACTATGCAGCTATAAAAAGGAAGGATCCCTTACCCTTTGAGACAGCATGTGGGACCTGGAGAGTATTATGCTAAGTGAAATAAGCCAGTCAAAGACAAGTGTCACATGATCTTACTCATATGTGGAATGTAATGAACAAAATAAACCAATGAACAAAATAGATCCAGAAACATAGAAACATGGAACAGACTGACCAATCTCAGAGGGAAGGAAGGCGTGGGTGGGGGAGTGGGGAGAGATTAACCTAAGAACTTACATGCATATATGTATAACCCATGGACACAGACAATAGTGTGGTGAAGGCCTGGAGGAGGGGTACAGGGTGGAGGGGATCAATGGGGAGAAAATGGATATTTTTAACACTTTCAACAATTAAGATAAATTAAAACATTTTTTAAAAAGTAATGATGTTTAATAAAATATAAGGAAAATTTATATCATCTATAAAAACCCTAGTTGCTTTACACTAAGACAGTTGCGGGAGCCAAGGATGCCAGTCACCCTGGTGCATTTAGGCTATGTTCTAATGATTACTTCCTACCTGCCATACCTTAGTCACTAAGATAAATACTGGGATTTTACTGACATGAGAGTAGGCACAGGAATACAGTAGAAAATTATAACAGCATCATAATTAATTATAAAAAGCCAGAGGGATTTTTAATTACCAAGTGTTATAGTTTGAATTGTGTCCCTCCAGAATTCACCTGTTGAAATCCTAACCTTCAGTGTCACAGAATATGACTATATTTGGAGGTAGTGTCTTTAAAGAGGCAATTAAGTTAAAATAAATTGTTAGGATGGGCCCTAATCCAAGATGACTGGTATCCTTATAAGAAGAGAAAATTAGCCTGACCGACATGGCTCAGCAGTTGAGCATCGGCCTAATGAGTTCGATTCCCGGTCAGGGCACATGCCCATGTTGCAGGGTATTTAGGAGGCAGCCCATCAATGACTCTCTCTCATCATTGATGTTTCAATCTGTCTCTCCCTCTCCCTTCCTGTCTCTGATATCAATAAACAATATATTTTAAATAAAAGAATAAGAGGAAATTAGGACACAGAAGGAAGACCGTGTGAAGTCAGAGGGAGGCGATGGCACCTTAGAAGTGAAGGAGAGAGGCCTCAGAAGAAATCAAACGTGCAGATACCTTAATCTCAAACTTCTAGCTTCTAGATTTGTGAGAAAATAAATTTCTATTGTCTAAGCTACCCAGTCTGTGGTACTTTGTTATAGCAGCTCTAGCACACTAATACACCAAGTACCTTCTCATTTCTTAATTCATTAAAATCTAATGTAATACTCAAAACAATGGTGTATGGTAATATTTTCCCCACTTTATAGATAGGGAAACCAACATTTCAGAGATGTTAAATGATGTCTCCAAGATTATTCAGTGAGCAAGCAACAGGCCACAGAAATCAGACTAGACTGTACCTAACCCTGCTGACTTTCCACTCTCAGCAGGTAACGGATGACAGGACACTTGGGCTTCGGTCCCTTCAGTGTCATTAATTTTTTAACATCTTTGCTTCTTTCATCTGCAAATAAGGTGGTTGAATTAAATATCCTAAGGGTTGAATAGACTAAAGGTCTATATAAATGTCTTCCCAGTTTAAAAAAATGTAGCTCAAATCATTGTTTCCAAACTCCAAAAGAAATTGTCTGTGTAAACTCATTTAGAATCGAAAGAAAATTCAATATTTTGAGAATCACTTAGGATTTTGCCCACAGAAATTATCTCTATCAAAAATATATACATACATTAAAAAGTTTTGAAATACTATGCACTTAACTCATATTTTAAAAAGTAATTTTTATAGGGCTTGCATCCCATTAATTTCTGTTTTTAAAGATTTTGCATTCTATGGTTTTAAGAATTCACAGAACTTCATGAACAAAACACAAGACTAAGTCTTTTTCACAGAAAATCTGAATTTGGGCTTAAAATCTTTAGTGAACAATTGGATAATCTTGAGTGGAAAAAAAAATGGTTGCAGACCTCAGTTTCTAGGTCTGAGAAATGGTGTAAATGGCTTCCTGCGTGCCTGGAATGAAAGTTTGCCATTAAATGAATGAAATACCTTTGAACTCTTTGGAGGGAGGTTGCTGCATATATACAACTGCAAGATAATTCATAAAAACTCATAGTGTTAGGGCATCTTTTTTTCAAAAACTTTCTAAGTATTGAAATACATGTGAGTGCTTGGTTTGCATGTTGTTTTACCTATGGTGCATGTATATTTTGTTTGCCAGAAAGAGGGGAATATATCATGGAAAATAATTTGTACCATAATGGGGAATAGCAGGTTATCTGACCGTAGGGGTTAGAATTGTGAATCATCTCTTGTGTGCTTTTTAACTAAGTAAAGGAAGTTTGCCCAAAGGGGAGGGGAAAAAAATCTACAAACCACACATCCATCCAATTGAGTAAAGACAAATCAGCCTTCAGGCATATCACTGGTCTTCATTTCAAGCTTACCTGGATTTGGCACTCTGCCCATCTTTTCCAAGTCTCTTAATTATACTTTCATAGTTTAAAAAGTGCATACTGTTCAGCATTTGCAACATTATTTTTGAAGAAAAGGAACTCTTTAGCCCAGGAAAGACAATCTGGCTTGGGAAAAGGAAAGTTCCTTTCTGAGTCTGCAACATGTAAATCAGAGATTAGTGGGTGGGATTGAGGTGTTCTCGGTACATAAATAGAGGCTGGACTGAGCTCGCTCACTAGGAAGCTTGGACGCGTGGAGGCCGCTTGGCTCACACACAGGTGGGTGGGGAAAGCCAGGTAAGGGTCCTCACAAAGCGCTCTTGGAAGGGCACTCACTAGAGTAAGTTCTGGCCTCTGATTACTGTGTAAAAGACAGTTTCCAGGGCAATGAAATGGAATTTGCCGAGGGAATAAATGGAATTTTCACCAAAGGTTTACTGGGGACTTTCTTTGGCCTGAGCTGGCAGTGCTACATTCCTGAGCTGGTTCAAGGTGCTGCTTTCTCCCTTGGGAAATGGGAGGTCTGAGAGTGGGTGAATTCTAGGTGTTTTCAAGTGTGGGACAGGGCCCAGGATCTTCTGTCGCTGTGCACTGTCACCATCTAAGCTCTGCTTTTCTCCCACTGCCTGAAGCGAAGGTCTGCGGCACTGGGAAACCTCAGCTCAGATTGGCCACTGAAGCAGCTGCAATTCAGAATCTGGGTGCAAATCAGAAATGCAGGGCTCTTTCTCTGTCTGGTGTAAAGAGATTCGTGTTGCACCTTCGTACTTCAGATCCATGGGAGACACCGTAAGAGAAAGCTGGGTGCTTTCCTAATGCATTTATGAATTAGGGGTATCGAAACCTCCTGCAAGTTCATTCCTTGCTAAAGATAAGAAGACAGATAGAGTGACCAATAAAAAGTGCTGGTTTCATAGAATATGTGCGTGTGTGTCCGAATGGTCAGTGTCTCCCACAGTTAGCATTCTGTTTTGAGATGGTTTATGCAGGAAGTGTGCAGAGCAGAGCCTGTTCATATTTACAAAACCTTGATAGAATGAATCTCAGAAAGTCAGCCCACAGCAGGATGTTTGTACAGTAGGAGTTATATTAGGCCAAATTCTGTCATCCTGCCATAAAAACGTGTAATATGCCAATAGTTCCAACCTTTGAGCTGCAGAGCTATCGCAAGGGCTCTTAATAGCTGCTTGCACAACAAGAATTGTCACTGGACTAAATAGGTACAATGCCTCGCCACCAGTTTATGATTTTTTAAAAATATACATAGATGCTGTTGCTGTAAATGAAATGCAAAATCAAATGTTGATAAATTCAAAGTAGCTGCTCGCCATGATGTTTCTAAATCAACTAATATTAAAAAACAATTATTCTCACATAAAAATTCTTGGCTTTTTTAAACACTAAAAATAAGTCTTTGTACTAAGAGAGCTTGGAATTGTTGACTTGTGGTACATTTGAGTTTTTCCTGCAGAGCGCTAGGGTACAATGATTGTTATTGGAATTTCCACATCTTAATCAGTGTGGAAAATGAAGAAAATGCATCCTTGCTTTTAACTTAATGTCTTTTTGAGTAAGACATTTTGTGGCTACATACTACTACTTGAATAATAATTGGCCAGTTTAATATCATCTGGAATTGGTGATCTAGGAGCACTTTTTTTTTTAATCAGCAAAAGTTCCCACTCATGCTATCAGAAAGTGAAAAACTTCCCCCCTTAAAAATACCACGCATTGATAGTCCATCCTGCTTCCTTTGCAGAGCTTATTTTATTTAATTCCAAATCTACACCAATATTAGAGTTAGATATTTCTTTTCAAGCAATTTCAGTCTTTGGCTTTACTAAAATCCCAGGTCTCCCGCTTTGCGCGTTGTGGTCCCTGGATAGCCACAGTGGTTGGCTGGTGCAGCTCACTTTGCTGGCTCGCTCTCTCCCCACTCACTCGGGGATCTTCTCTTGTCATTTACTCTCCTGTTCACGGGAATCTCCTTCACAGCAGTGTGACCTTCCCTAAGAACTAACTGTGGAATACTGGAAGAGACAAAAAGAAACTAACAGAGACACCCATGGGGTTGCTTTCTCTGTTATGAGTCCCATAGAATACTTTTGTGCACACAAGTGCGCACCCACAACCGCCTGCCTATCCCAGGCCCGCTGTGAGAGTCAGAGTTGTTTCAGTAGGAGGAACTTGCGTTGATATATTTCGGTCAATTCAGAACTAATATATAGAGTTTGGATAAATATTACACTGGGGAGAGAATTATGTGGGTACAAGTTTTCAGGTAAATAACAAAGTTGGCAGGTGTTAAATGAAATAAGGAATCACTTTTCGCAGATCTTCAATGGCAATGTCCCCATTTTAACAGAGGCTAAAGAAGTATCTGTGATTAAATTGTTTCAAGATGGGAAAATGGGAGCCAGCACTGCAAAAGGGCAAGATCCAGGAACCTTGGTTTGGCACTCATCTCATAAATCTTCATCTCTCTGAATTTCAGATTCTTCATCAATAAAATGAGGCATTGGGGAGGTGGGGAAAGAAGGGGTAACCGATAAATGTTTTAAATATAAAATTTAAGTGTAGATTCTTTTAGCTATAAGAGTATATACATTTACTTATTTTCTTAAAATATATCTATATCTATATTGTAGATTTCTATGGAGATCTACATCAGTATATTTATATCTGTATGGAGAGGAGAAATTTTTAGGAAATTTCTGTGGAAGGTTATCTTTTCAGCCCAATTGCATGGTTTTGATCTCAGCCAAGCCTCAATTCCTGAGGAAGGAAGGAAGGAAGGAAGGAAGGAAGGAAGGAAGGAAGGAAGGAAGGAAGGAAGGAAGGAAGATGACTGATGGACATTCACACTATGTATTTTTAGGAAATTTCTGTGGAAGGTATCTTTTCAGCCCAATTGCATGGTTTTGATCTCAGCCAAGCCTCAATTCCTGTTGTAAGCCACAGTCGTGATGCAGTCTGGAGATTTTGAAGACCACTTATTCCCTTCTGTTTCATTGACTTTTTGCTTCTTTGATTGTTTTCATTATCAGATTTGCCATGGAGAAGACTTCTGTGTCGACATTCTTACTCCTTGTGGCCCTCTCTTACACTCTGGCCAAAGATACCACAGTCAAACCCGGAGCTAAGAAGGACACAAAGGTCTCTGCACCCAAACTGCCCCAGACCCTTTCCAGAGGTAGGAGTCAGCTTCTTGTTGGCTTCCGGTGCTACTTAATTGGGAAGCTAAGACTTGTGTGCTGAACGTATTTTTTTGCATGGGTTCCTTCTAGATTTATCAAAATTTACAATTATCTCTACTTTCTCTAGAGGTTTTTCTTCTTTAGTATCAAGTATATATCCCAGTCATTGTCATTGCTTTTCAACAGCTTTGGGCCTGAAATTATAATAGCTTTAAATATACTGGTTCATTTTGCCCTAGGTTGGGGTGATCAACTCATCTGGACTCAGACATACGAAGAAGCTTTATACAAATCCAAGTCAAGGTAAAGATGAGCGTTACGCAGCTCTCCTGAAGCTCTCAAGAGCACCACCTAGTGATATTTAGCTGCACATGAAATCCTACTTAGAAAAAATGATCCAATCTCTCTTTTTCTTTCAAAGCAACAAACCCTTGATGATTATTCATCACTTGGACGAATGCCCACACAGTCAAGGTAACTTAGTCTTTTAAATATAATTTCCTTTATAGGCTTTTAGCTTTCGGGCCAAGGTTTGGATCACTCATCTTGATATCCTTAGCACCTGGCACAGTTGAAGACAAAATAACATTTCATGTAGTAAAAAGGTATTTAAAGTAACTTCAAATATTTCCATGCTTTGGGTTAACCACTGCTGCTTATGTTGGAAAAACAAGCTCTAGGATTCACCCTTGACATCTTTCTCTTTTATCCCATATCCAACACATCAGCAAATATCATTGGTTTTGCCTCCAAAATATATGCCAAAGCCAGGGCCAGCTTCGTGGGCATGCAAGCTGTGTAGTCACACAGGGCCCAGCGGTTAGAAAGTTCCCACGCTTGCTTTAAAGCTCTGTAGTCACCGTCTTTAAATTCTTAATAATTTTCGAACAAGGGGCTCCATATTTTTATTTTGCACTGGGCTCCCTATATTACGTAGGTCCTTCCCAAATCCAACCGCTTCCTGTGGTCTCACTGCTACTGCCCTGGTCCAAACCAAGATCTAGAATACTATAATAGCCACCTACCTGGCCACCCGATAGTCAGTTCTCCACACAGAAGCCCGAGTAAAGCTGTTAAACATAAATCAGATCCTATCAGCCATGTGCTCAAGCGGCTCCCACTCACTGGGAAATTTAAATCCAGATTCCTGACCATGGGCCACAAGGCTGGGCATGGTCTAGCCTCGGGCTCCTTCCTTTCTTACCCCTCTCCTCTCGTTCTCTCTCCACTCCACCTAGCCTGGCCTTTGGGCTTTTCCTCAAACATCCGAGCTCATTTCCACCTCAGGACTATTGCCCTTGGAGTTCCCTCCACCTAGGGTGACATACCCTCAAAATCTTAGAATGGGTCACTCTCTCACTTCGATGCCACCTGCTCAGAGCGATCTATCCTGACCACTCTATAGCCCTTAAACTTCTTGCTTCGTTTCAGTTTCCTTCCAGGTACATATCTCCACCGAAGTTATTAGATTTGTTTACTTACTTATGATCTGTCTCCTGCACAGGCATTTGAGCTCCATGAAGAAAGCACAATATTTTTTTTCTCACTGCTCTATTCCCAGGGCATAAAACAGTACCAACCATAGAATAGCCACTCAATGAATATAGGCTGGGGAAAAAAAGAAAAAAGAAAATGAATGGATGGATGGGGGATGAGTGAGCGGCAAGCAGCAGAGGCAGCCAATAGCCTGGGTATAGATCCTCACGCCCATCACTGGCCGAAAGGGCAAAGTTGAACATTGTGTTAATAAATACACTTCAACTTAAAATATAACAGAGAGCGGTGGTTTTATTTGTGTTGGTGTGGACGCTTAATTGTTTTTCTTTACGCTACAGCTTTAAAGAAAGTGTTTGCCGAAAATAAAGAAATCCAGAAAACGGCGGAGCAGTTTGTTCTCCTGAATCTTGTCGTGAGTGTCCCTTTTCCTCATTGGTGGCATTTCTCCAGGGCTCATTACTCAGAACGGACGAGTCCTGTCCTTTACCCTATACATCTTTTTTTTAAAAAAATATATCTTTATTGATTTCAGAGAGAGGAAAGGAGAGGGAGAGAGAGAGATAGAAACATCAATGAGAGAGTTATTGATCGAACCCGCAACCCAGGCATGTGCCCTGACCGGGAATCGAACCCCGATCGCCTGGATCCCAGGTGGACGCTCAACCGCAGAGCCACGCCAGCCGGGCGTCCCCTGTACATCTTCATCACAACCGGGACATCCCGCATGGGGATCTGTTCCAAACACTCATCTCAAAGGCTGGAGAGAAAACGGATACTTTATTTTTTTAACAATCTACCTTTGACGTTAACGTTTTTGATTTAGCAATTAGTAACTCTGGGTTATCTGGAAGGTACTCTCCTGTGGTTAGGATTTTCTCTGGTGCTGCAGGAACGTGAAGGCTTGTGTGTTTTGCGAGTTACCTCCTGTGCCCCTCCTGCAGTCCTGGCTGCTCCCCGCCCATTCCCCGTCCTTGCCTCCGCTCGCCCCGGAAGACACAGCTCCCTGGTTGGCCGCCTGGAAGGGCCGATTCCCACTGACTTCATCTCCAGCCCTCCTGATGTCCAAGCTCTTCTGCCTCACTCTGTCATAACCCTCAAGTCAAATCAGAGTCTCTGTCTCTCCCTCGCCCTCCCTCCCCCGTCCCTCCCTCTCTCATGCTCTTCACAGGCTGACAAGTTGGCTTCTTCGAGGAGCACCCACACCAGTAGTTCCTCCTCACCTCTCTTCCCCAGGCTCCTCTTTCCCTTCCTACCCCTAAATATTAAGTGAGTTGGCGAATCTCTGTTTGACCTACTCTCTTGTTTTCATATTTTATATTCTCTTTGGACACAACATCCACATCTGTCTTTAATCAATGTCCACACACTGATAATTCCCACATCTTACCCAAACATGCCACAACTTCCAGCTGGTGCATACAACGGTGCTCCAGGCATCCCATAATTAGCTTAAACTCAGCGTGTTCAACTGCATTTCTCAGCATGGTCCAGGCTTTTCAAATTGGTCTTCTTCTTCTATTCCCTATTTCATAGAAAGTTGTATTCTAGATTGGACTCTCCTACTCACCTGCAGCAGCCAAGAGGACCTGTGGTTCAACTTTTAAATATTTTTGTTATTGGTCACTTCCCTATAAACTGAGGATCACCCTTTCAGTGCATCAGTTGTTCACTTTGCTCAGCTTACTGCAATATTACTAAATGGCCCCCTGCCTACAAGATAAATTCCATCTAATCCCACCCTCCATTAGGGTGATCACTTTGAAGACCAATTGGGATCGTGGTACCTCTTCTACCATCTCCCCACTGCTTCTTAGCTATTTATGAACTAATGTAAGCACACTGGCATGGCGTGCAAGAAAATACGAGCTGCCCCTGAAGCAGCTCTCCAGCATCTTCCCTCACCACCACCTGCATCCCCTCCAAACACCTGGTCACATCAGGACGTGCTCTGCATTTCCTCTACTTTGCACAATCTCTCCCCTCTGCCTGGAATGGCCTCCTTTCCATGGAACTGATTTCAGTTCATTTTTTAAGATCCCCCTTCTCCACTTCATAAAGTCCGAGTAGACCTTGCATACTGGGTTAAATATCCTGCTCCGGGCACCCATGGCATCTGTATTCCTCCATCAAAACATTTCAGCCACTGGATCCCCCAAATTCATTTTCCTACCTTTATCTCCCAGTAGAGTGTGCATCTATGAGAGATAATATGTATATTGCTAAATTTAAAAAAACACACCACTTCTAAATAAAAATTTGATAAGTGGGTAGATGACTACTCAAGATGTTTCTTTCTGTAATTTCTCCAAGAATGACTTCTGCTTTTTTTCATTAATCTACTTTCTCCTACCTCATAAAAGATATCTTTGCTAAACACTGTAACTCCTTTCGGGTTCTCCCTTCATGAACTTTTTTGCCCTTTGTCACCCGCATTCAGCTCTTTGCCCCCTGTCCTGCATCACATTCTGCACTAACTTGTGATTTCATGCACATAAGTTGTCTCTGCATCTGTATTGTAACCCCTTGTGGAAGGGATTGCCTCACAGCATCTTAAGATGCCTAGCCCAGCAATGGACACATTTTTGTAATAACAAATTTGAAAAGAGCTAAAGAGTAAACAAACTAAAAGCTTTTTTTTTTTTTTTTTAATCTTAGTATGAAACAACCGATAAACACCTTTCTCCTGACGGCCAGTATGTCCCCAGGATTATGTTTATTGGTAAGTAAGCAAAAAATGACACAAGTGCCACCATATCTCCACCTTTGCCCACCCCAACCCTCAGGTGCCACTCCCCCATGGCTTCAAGGGGTTTAACATCCCTTGAAGTTTCACAAAATATCTTCAGTAGAAAATGTGGGCTTCCAGATATTTCCACAGATAACATTACTTTCCTCATATGCTAATTTTAAGTTTTCCTCTTGTCCCGCAAATACATCTGAGAAGGAAGCACCCTGTTAACTGTTTAAATGTATTGTTCATTTTACTAAATACAGGGCTGGGCAAAAGTAGGTTAATAATAATAATAAATTAAATAATTTATAAATAATAATTCAAGGATAAACTCTGTGTTTTATGTACTCTCAAGTGTAAATCTACTTTTGCTCCACCCCTTTACCTCAGGCCTGTAAATACTTATTTTTAACCAGGCAAACTTTCAATTCGTGTGTCGGATAGTTCTTTCTGAAATTGTTGATAATTACTTTAGGAAAGTTAAGAATATGAGTTTAAAAAAATCAAGTTGCCATGCTCCTTCCTGCCACTGAAACTATTTATATGCTGTTCCTTGCTTTCCCTCTGCAGCTACATGTCACCTAGTCACCTCCCAACATCACTCTTTCACTGACCTGGCCAAAGCCCACAAACATGTGCTTTTTGAGGCACCAGTTTCTTCCCATGGTTGTATTTTCCAGTTATGATTTTGTAATTATTGGTGTTTGTTTAATAAACATTTCCCCCATGGGATTATAAACTCTATGTGGCAGGGACTATAGCTATCTCTGCTCACCACTATATTTTCAGCATGACCCTGTGGTGGGCTCACAATAACTGTTTCTTAGATGACTGAACAAATTAATTGAGTTTGGCTCTCATCAATATCATACTGATTTAAAGACAGTCCATGATAACAGTATGGTGATTATCAAAAGGAAAGTCGGTTGGGGGAGATAAAAGAAGGTATGGGGGGTAAATGGTGGTGGAAGGAGATTTGACGTGGGGTGGTGAACACACAATACAACACACAGCTAATGTCTTGTAGAATTGGACACCTGAAACCTATATAATTTTCTTAACCAATGCCACCCCAATACATTCAACAAAAAATAAAAATAAAGACAGTCCATGATTAAATCTATCACATCAAAAAGAGCTCACTCTAATCACTGGCTCACCTATGTAATTCTTTCAAGTTCACACTAAATGTACAAAACAGGGGAGAGAAAAAGTGAAGGGAGAAAGGAGGAAGGCGGAACCAGAGCTTCATAGGTTCGGTTTTGTTAGGATTGAGAACATTTGGAACCCTTAACACTGAAAGGGACTTTATAGGGCCTCCAGTCTTACCTTGGGCACAAATTCTGTTCACAGAATTCTCATTTCAGGGCATTTTGACCCACGTGCGGTCCCTTCAGTTGTAAGAATCAACTCCAACTGAGGCAGCTTCCTCTCCAGCTCTGTAGTCCGTAGTTCATGCCGCCTGACATGAGAATCACCTGGAAGATTTTTAAAACCGAGCTGCCCAGGCCATACCTCAAGCCGAATAAACAGAGTGTCTGGGGGTGGGGCACAGGCCTCGGCCTTTTTTTAAAGCTCCCAGATGATTCCATCGTGCAGCCAGGGCTGGGAGCCGATGGCTGGGTGTTGAAGAGCCTTATGCCCTTTTATTACCACGACCAGGCCAGGTGTTTGTCCCCTGCACCACGCAGCAGCAGGTCTTAAGTCTTTGTTGAACAAAAGAAGGTCTGCTTTTTGTAAATTATGTTGGTCCTAGTCCAGACTTTTGAAATGACAGAGACTGTCCGTTCAAATAGCGGTGACAGACATCGCAAACATGCAGGTGCTTTCACGTGTCCTCCTCACGTAGATTTCAGGACATACACCTGAGGCTCCTTCGGTCACCTCTACCGAGGTAAGGTTCCCAGGCCTCTGTGCATCCCGGTACTACCTCCCTTTCAGATGTGCCTTATTTTAAAAATACCTTTCTGTGGCATTGATAACTTTAAGTTAATATAAAACATGAAAAAACAGATTTAAACAATGCGTAAGAGATGACTCCTAAATCTATATTTTTTAAATAAGGAAAAAAAATAGAGACAGGTACTGCATGTTTATTTCACCTTTGGTGCTCTTAGGGTTTATCTTCTTTTATTCATTAAAAATATATATATTGGTTTTGAATGCCAGCACTGGATGTGGGTTTCTAATTATCTGGGTTGCTCTTGATTATAACACATTTCAATGACAGCATAATCATTTTAAAAGTTTAAAATAATTCCTTAGCAGAGAATGCTAATGTGTTCACCCAGAATGGAAACACCAGCCCGACCGCATGTATTAACCCTGTTTTCGGGTTGCTATAGACAGGACAGCAGGGTTCGTAGCCTTTCCCATCAATAGCTCTGCGCAGCTGTTGAGGGCTCCCAGGCCGGCTCGGGGTCCTGATGCCCGAGGAGCTGCAGGGCGGACGGATGGGGATCTGCCAGGACACACGCCGTGTTCCCTTCCTAGGACACGAACAAATACACGGGCTCCGTCCCGCAGTCGGGCTGCTGCCAACACAGCACTTCACTCCTTTTGCTTTTCCTCTGTAGACCCGTCCCTGACCGTGAGAGCCGACATCACTGGCAGGTACTCAAACCGTCTCTATGCTTACGAACCTTCCGATGCAGCTCTGCGTAAGTGTCACCTCCTTTGAACATCTCTGTTGAGGTCCTAGGGAGTAGGGGCCACATGACTATGAGGGAGGCAGGGAAAGCTGCTCAGGGACCCCAGGGAATCAGCTTGACCAAGTCTCGTCACTTTGATCTCATTTTTTAAAAATTTTAATTGAAGATGAATAATTTAAATTAGGTTATCGTTTTCTCTAGGAGGATTCTATGACTATATTACCTGCTCTTCAGGTTTGTTTCTTAGGCACATAATGTTTCACAGAATTCTGTACAATAGTTGTAGTGATCTGCATGCTTTGTTAAATATTTTTTCCAAGTAACGAAAAGGAAATAATTTAGTCTAGCTTGTTGATACTGGGTTCAAGTTCAATTTTAAAGATCAGTAGGAAAGATGGCTCCAGATAGTTGCCAAGAGACTCACTTCCCAGAGAGACTGACTCACTCACTCAAGGGAGATAAGGTGCCTCAATAAGAGACTGTACCTGCTTGTGACATTTAATTAGTCCCTCTGGGAAGAAAACTGAGTTTTGTCCTAGGAACCAATTCTGCTCAATGACTAGCGGCTGCCTAGAACTGTAGTGCCCAATATGCTAGCCTTTAGCCACATGTAGCTTTTTAATAGTAAATTTAAATTACTTACAATTTAAGATTCAGCTCTTCTGTCATGCTAATCACATTTCAAGTACTCAATGCAAAGGCACTGAATATTTTTCATTATCACAGAAATTCTCATTGGGTGGCACATAAAGATTCTCATTGTTTTGGATTTTGAGGCTGTGTCTGGGAAGCAGAAAGACCATGATGGTCCATTAGCAATGCCTTCAGTGGGTGCCAGAGAACCAGGGGAAGCACATTCCATGTATTCACCATTCTCGAAGTAATAGCATATATCTTAATAAGCCTTCGGACTCCTTAAAGGCAGGTGTCCTGCACACATAATATCATAGTATCTTGTAGAAAAGGCATTTAATAAATATTGGAAGAGAACTGGAATGTAATAAAAGCCATTGCACATAATTTTAGAAAAAAATTACAATAAGATTACCCACTTTTCACTCTCTAATAGCACCCCATTAAACAATCAATAGAATACCCAAGTGTGGGGGGTTACTATATCTATTAATATAATTTCTGGTCATGTCTTGACTCTCGTAACTATTTCGCCCATTAGTTATTGACAACATGAAGAAAGCACTCAAGTTGCTGAAGACCGAATTGTAGAGAAAAGACAAAATGTGCCAGCTCTTCCCTCTGTGTTCGGCCGTGACCTGGAACCAGAGGGGATTTCAGAAGACTCTGGAGAAGGCAGGAGCATGCGTGGACATGCTCATTAGATTACAGTTTAATGTTACAACAGCTACTTTTTTTAATTTGGTTTCAAGTATACATGTATGAAAACAATACTGTATACTACCATAGGAAGCCATACTTTTTAAAAAAATAAATCCTTTGGGAGTGTTAAACTGTTTTGTTTTTCCCAACTTGGTCTTTCACAGAAAAGCTATGGGGTTCACTTGCCAAAGAGGACTTTTGGACACACAAAATGTTCAAGGTTGGGGAGGGAGGGTGACAAGAAAAAAAATAGTGTAAGCAATGAAGACCAGACAGTCAATTATCATCTCAGTTCACTATAGTTTCTCCCTGGGTCAATAAAGTAGACATTAACTTAATCAACAGCAGTATCAAACAGAATATACTTTAGTGTGAGAGAACGTGTAGAAAGGCATCCTTGAGAAAACCAGGTACCTAAATGGAAGACAACGCCCCCCCCAACTGTAGCCAGAAACTCCTATGTACACACTTTAATTCAGTAATTCAATTTTAGTTAGATTTTGCCCAACTCAACCCTTTCAGGGAAAGCCTCTTAGCAGGTAGCTTTCTCCCTGCGAAGACGAATTTTGTGAAAAGGTCATTCAAAGAACATCCATGAACACATGCTAAAGAAATCCTGAGAATTAGCCTTATAATACCTTGGGTCTCTCAAGGTCTCAGAGTCCTGTCCTGGAATAAATTCAGTTGAATTGGTACCATCTTTGTCACCAAAACGTGACTGGCCAGGAGAAGAGCAAAGGGCAGTGATATCCTGTCTACCAGGTAAAGAGCAGAGGTCGCTACTTATCTTTGGAAAAGTTGAGAGAGGGTGTGGCATCAGATAGGGGAGCAGAGTTAGCTACTTAGAACTCTATTCTGCCAGACAAAAATTAGAACTGCATTAATTTCTTCACTACATATTGAATAATCTCACATTCGTTAGTATATGGAATTCTTTTATTACCCAGCCCCCACTGACTTCTTTAGCCCCTCAATGACCGTGGAGGTCTGTTCAATGCTTTGCATATTAATTATCTATTGTCTTGAATAGCTTGTTTTTTAGATAGGTCCTTTTCTGAATAGATTATTTAGCATTATTAGCTTTTCCAGGGCAGATACTATATTTTAAATACTGTTCTAGCTCACAGTACTTTGACAGAGCTCACAACAGTCTGAGCATATATTGTTGATTTAATGACATACAATTCCTCAGTAAATATATCAACAGAGGGACTGGACTCCCTTTGCAAATGTAGGTAACCGACATGTGCTTACAGAGGTAAAATATTCCATTTAGAAAGTGCCCTGAGGTTTAATGAGAGGAAAAAAGTTTTCACTTGTATAAACAAATATTTTGAATGACAATTGAGTTACTCAGGTCTCACCTATCTAAACAAAATAATGTTTACATTTTTATGGGGCTGATGCTAAATAAGATTAAGTCCTTAAAATTTATTGAATGACAAACTGTTATTTTAACAACACATATAATTAAAAATATATAAATAGATTTTTGGAAAGTCAAATGTCAAGGTTGCAAGGAAAATGAATCTCCCTTAGAAAAAGTATTAAACACAGAGCAATAGTAATTAAAAAACAAAACTGACTGACTTTCACCCCATCTCCTCAAATTCTGAGAACCTGTCCTAAGAAAATCAATCATTCATGAGAAATAGTTCTGTGAAGATGCCAATGGCAACATTATTTAAATATACCCCCCCTAAAATCGGCAACATTCAAATATAATAATTACATAGCTTATTAACATAGTGCAGTATGTTGTCATCTATAAAAGTAGCAAACAGCCCGGCCGGGCGTGGCTCAGCGGTTGAGCGTCGACCTAGGATCCAGGCGATCAGGGTTCGATTCCCGGTCAGGGCACATGCCCGGGTTTCGGGCTCGGTCCCCAGCAGGGGTCATGCAAAGGGCAGCCGATCAATGACTCTCTCTTATCATTGATGTTTCTATCTCTGTCTCTTCCTCTCCTTTCCTCCCTCTGAAATCAACAGATATATATTAAAAAAAAAAAAAGTAACAAACATCATGGATAAACAAAAAGGATAAGCGAGTAAGAATTTAAGAATTTTTATGCCTTCTGCAACTATATACACAGGTTGGAAAGAGAAGTGAAGATACAGACACCAAAACTGTTGTTTTAATCTCACGGACATATTAGCGAGGTCTATTCTATCAAACCCTTTACAGGTATCTCACAATCTTTCCTTTGCATTTGAATAAATTTAAATGAAAGTATTTCTTGACTACTCTGACTACAAAGAAGTAAAAGAACGCTATAAGACGAGAGTATTATTTCAAACAGCTGAATGAAAGCATTGGTACCATAGTGGGAATATAAAATGGTGCAGCCATGATAGAAAAAAAATAAGACTGTTCCTCAAAAACTTACATACAGAATGACCATATGATTTGGGAATTCCACTTCTGGGTCTATACCCAGAACAACTGAAAGGAAGGAAAAGGTATTCGTGCACTCACGTTCACAGCAGCATTACACACAACAGCCAGGGGGTAGAAGCAACCCAAAGGCCCATCGATGGGTGGATGGACAAACAAAATGTCCTATATACATACAGTGGAATATTATTTGGCCTTTAAAAGGAAATTCTGACATATGCGACAACATGGATGAACTCTGAGGACATTATGGTAAATCAACCCGTCACAAAGGGACAAATACTGTATGAGTCCACCTATATGAGGTACGTATTGTAGCCAAATTCATAGACAGAAAGTAGACCGGCGGCTGCCAGGTTCTGCAGGGCGAGGGGAGTGGGGAGTTACTGTTTAACAGGTGCAGGTTTTCAGTTTGGGAAGATCTGGAAAGTTCTGGAATTGGATGGTGGTGATGGCTGTGGGACAATGTGAATGTGCTTAATGACACTGAATTACACACTTAAAAATAGTTACAATGATAAGTTCTGTTATGTACGTTTTACCACATTAAAAAAATTTATCAGATTTATCTGAGGCCCTACAACTTAGGGGGTAAAAAGATGAACTAACTTATAGAAGAGTTGGTTGGTTGAACATGAATCATCTGTAAAAGTCATTTACATGGATGATCAACATGTTTGATCAAACCATTTTTACCTGTTTGAGAGCCACAGTTGACTTAGAATGACCGTTCATGACCATCTCTCTCTACTTGGTTTTTTGGCTTGTTTTATGCATTCAGTAATCCCAAATAGCTCCTGAGGTCCTATATTTAGCAACCACTGGTGAGAATGGAAGCTGGGGGAAGAACATGAAAGCTCAAAAGCAAAATCAGAACTTTCTTCAGTGCCTCGCCAACAAGGGGGACTTCAAAGTCCACGCCAGCCTAACTTATGAAAAAGCCAGTGGCCATGTTGTGAGCTCACTACCTGAAAAAAGCAAGATTTGAAAGTAATCAAAAGTGTTTTCACCCTCCAAGTGATATCCAAGTCCATTCTTTGACATATATTTTTAACTCAAAGGCAATTCCCTCAAGCCCTCATTTGAAAATGAATTCCAAGAGCTGGCTTTCCTGAGAGGAGGTGAAAGGCAGCCTTGCACATAGCAGGAGGGTCTGATTTTCCCCTTTCCCACGGTCTCAAGAGGTATTTCAATGACTGCAATCGCCAGGTTAGGACCTGGCATTTTAGAAACACTTCAATATGAAGAGCTCTGTTCTCTGTGCCTCCCCCTCCCCCACCCC